TTTTTATCATCTTCTTGAAGAAAAAGGAAAAAAAAAGAAAAAAAAATAACTTGAATATTGCTGGCTTCCTAACCACGTGTGGTTCTTTTCAGTATAAATTGATGATAACAATTTTCAAGCATGAGATTCTAAAAGTGCGCAACTACATCTGGCAAGAGGAGGATGCAGGTAGGAGCAGTGAACTGCAAATAGGGACAACTCTGAGCATGTAGTTTACAATAACTTACCTTAATTATTGGTGGGTAGTGACTTCTGTCATCTAGCATACGTCCTTTTGAGAAGAGTTTTTCATGTGCACGCACTGAAATGGATGTCGTAAATGACATCGTGTCAGCTGTTTCCCGGAATCCATCAAACACTGCTACTTGTCCAAGCTCCTCATTAGAGCCCTGTCTTGCTCCGCGTTATCCAGTTGCAACCAGGATCAACAAGTCTGGTTTTTCACTGGATGTCTATGGTGAGTTCAACACTTGCCTTTCCTAGTTTACCACCTTGGATTGTTGAAATTCAAAATAGCATCTTGACAAAATTTCATGTAAGTTCTTGCTTATCGCTTTGGTGGACTACTTCAATCGTACCAGCACTGTCAGTTGGAAGTAGGTGAATATTTTAAACATTTATTCACTGAAAGATAGACTAGATGCGCTTCAAGTACACAGAGGTGTTTGGGAGGGTGGTCAAATCCTTAACATCAGTTCTGTTAGAATAATAGGAAAAATATAAATAAGTATTTTTTTCTCTTGCTTCATTCTGAGTTTGTGCCTCTTTGAGCCCATTGTGCTTTTTCTTTTTGTGAGGATAACTCTGACCTTTGCAGGTCAGGGACAGAGATTTCATTCCGAGTCACAGTTTGCAAATTTTAAATGATTATCTGGTGTATTTAAGCTTTTACCGCCAAATGAGTATTTTGGGGTTTTTAGTGTGTTTCAAATATACTACTGGTTCCTCTGAACCGATGGAGGTGACCTGAAGGAATGTGCAGGAAAGGAGTTTGTGATGGTTGGCTTACCAAGGACTTGGAAAGCAAGGCAGGAGTTTTGTGTCACCTTATTTTTTTGAGATCTGAAATGCTGTATGTTCCTAATGTAAGACTTGATATGGACAGGAACTTTTTAAACAGAGTGTGTGCTTTTCTGCTCAAGTGAGGTAAGATAGGGGATTTTGCTTGTTGGGGATATTTTTAGATTTCTAAGGACTGAATGAAAGATGTCAAGCAATGCCTTCAATGAAATTTGGGACTTTGAAATTAAATTTACCTGCTTTCCTTTCATTATTTTTGTCCAAACGTGACATGGCAAAGAACGAGGGAGTGTTTTGTTTCCATGTATTTTGGCTGCCAAAAGTAACTTTTCAATTTTGGGTTACACAAAGTCAAAATGAGTCTTTGGATGAAATTTCCCCGAATGGAAGGGGACACTGGAAATTAATTTTCCGTCAGCTCTAAATTTTAAATAAAATTTGATTAAAACTTGCCTGCCCTCTCAATTAATCACTATTTTCCTGCTTGGCATTTGTGATAGCCTACTAGTTCTTTGGGAGGCCCAGGGTAAGGCGAGAAGAAAAGATCTGACAGCAGGGGGGGAAGGAAAAAAAGCCACCAAAAAATTCCTCCCATACGTCTTTCATTGCATTTGTTAAAATGAATGTTTGGTGGAGAGAGGGAGATTGATACAAATCTAGATTTAAATAACACAGGACGGTGACAACAAAGTGAACCATCTTGGGAAATGACTTTGAATTTCCTGGCTTTTGTCGAGTTTGTCACAGCCTTATCGTTTGCGGGGTTATTTTGTGTGTGTGTGTGTGTGTGTCGGTGGAATCCTTCTGGCTCGTACACTAAAACCAGGACTGTTCAAAGTATCACATTTTCATGTTAGTACTTATCTCCCTGATCTTAGAGATGAAAACATACCCCATAGGGTGTTAGATGTAAAAGCCATATGTAGGTGATGATATAGATGGTTATTAAGGGAGTTGATATGGTTAGCAACAGAGACATCGTATCTAGTCGGTCGTCTCTTTTTTTTTTTTCCTCCTTTTTCCCTTGTAATTGGCTATGAGTGGCTCTAGATTCCCAAGGAGGGGCTTTCTCCACTACTTCATCATCAGCTGCCTGCCACTGCGTTTATGTTTTCTTTGTTTCTTCTTTTCTCTTTTACTCATATTTTTATTTTGACTGGAGGTGGAAAGATACCTCTTTTGAGGACACAAACACACATCAATTTTTTTTTTTTTTTACTTCTCAGGGGTTTCTCAGAAGGGTTAGTTGGGCAAAATTGACCCTACTGGAAGACCTCCCAACTGTGCTTTCAAACTGGACAACTACATTATTTCCACTCCCCCCCCCCAAGCCAAAAATCTTTAGCCACTGACATTAACTAGGAAGTTTTGTTAGGTGTTTCGTTGTACTAATTGCTTGTGTCCCTTTTCCTGTAGACCCCGACTGGGCCAGCTTGAATCTGGGAGCCCTCATATGTATCGAATGCTCAGGTATACACCGAAACCTTGGCACGCACCTCTCCCGGGTCCGCTCTCTCGACCTGGATGATTGGCCTATAGAGCTCATCAAGGTGATGTCGTCTATCGGGAACGAGCTGGCAAACAGCGTCTGGGAGGAGAGCAGCCAGGGCCATATGAAACCTTCGTCAGACTCCACCAGGTAGGCTTTCCTACTCCATCTGGCCGTGGCACACAGCGGGCAGGTAGTACGTGATACTGCGCCTGGCCGAGGCTGTAAGCTGTGAGCGCATAAATCCTCATTTTGGTGTTGCAGTCAGAGGTGGTAGGGCGTTATCGCGTTTTACAACATGGACTTTTAAAATTCTCCCTTGGAGTACGCCTTGTAAAAATCATTAGGTGTGTATATATCTTCACTGCATGCCCATGAAGAACGTGTGTCAAAGGAGGGGTGAGTGCCAAAAGTTGACTGACCCCCGTTACTTTTTCACTCTTGTGAAGGTTTCCTCGGCAGCACTGCAATTTTTTTGTTCAGTTGACTGCCCGATGAAACAGCGGGAGATGGAAACCTCCCGCGTGGATGTTCCTCAATCTAAATTATACTGTAATGCGTTTCTTTGTTGTGGTCAGCCGCAAAGTTCCTGGCTCTTGGTCTATCGGTTTGTGATGAATAATCTGCCTTCAGTAGCTCAGGCTTACTCAGGAATTTGTACCTGGCCATCAGGTCTTTGGGTTCTCATCATGGATGTTGAAAGTCCTGCTCACTGTGGACTTGTTTACTTTTTTTATGTGATATATGGGAAACCACAGTTGGGGGGGCGGTTTCCTATGAGAGCAGCATTTTACGTACCTCTCATAGCTCAACACAATGAAAATCTTCTTTCTGCGGTACATTGTCCTGCCAAAAGCCAGTGGGTTTTTATGCTTAATTTATCTGATCAGTGTCCAGGAAAGATGTTTTGAAAATACTTCCCTGATTTTAGTAGATATGAGATGTAAGTGCTGCTAGTTATAACTAACATATTGGTTGCGGGCAAGCAGAGTGACCTCTGGCAGACGGCGTTTCAGCGCGGGGCTTGAGGCAGGAGAAAGACCTTCTGGACTACCTTGCCCAACTGGGCCAACCTTTGAAGTTGTCTTCAGAAGCGCGTTATAATTGTCTTGGGGGGAGCTCCAGGAGGGCAACCTGCATCTCAGCACTGGTCGGTCCCCAGGTAGCAAACGGCACGACAGAGGTTTAACTCTCAGTGTTGTGCCTGCTGCACATGACAGAAATCAGAGGGAATTATATTCTGATTTTGTTGACGTACATCTCTGGATCCTGCTCTTTCCAGTACCAGCTCAAAGTGAATTTATAACCTGGGAGCATATACTTGGGCCACCTCCTACGGCGTAGGAGTAGGTTTGTACTGTTGTCTGTAATAAAGTCAACTGTTTCTTATTGCATTATTTCGTTAGCACTGAAAAATGAATTTGTGGTGCCACCTTTGGTTCATCTTCGAGAATGAAGCCAGTACATTAATCAGGCTACTTAGATGAATGACTGTGCATATAAAAATGTTCAGGGAGACCTACACAGAGGTTTTGTTCGTACATAAACTCTGTGTCTGCTGTGTACATGTGTATTATTAGACAGCTAATATAATTATTGTATCAGGTAGATTGAAATCAACTTATTGCTGCCTTTCAGTCATTAGTATTACTTTAATCCAAGGTCCTTACGTGGTTGCGCCTAACAAATACATGTTGCTCCTTAGTGCTGAGGTGAGCTGGAGGGATACCTCAATTCTAAATACTTAAAAGGAAAAGGCTTACACTCAATTGGATTTTTTTTTTTTAAAAAAAATCACATTATTTTAATATTCATATAATAAAGATATTATCATGAAAAGTCTAAAATACATGTGATTGTGATTAAGAGAGAGCCATCCATTTGAATTAAATAGTTCAGGTTTTTATGTTTGGAATTGAGTTTTACTTACAGAAATTCAACTTTGTTCTTTTTGTATTTCATGCACAGGGCTTATTTTAATTCTTTTTTGTTTCTGTACATCTTCACGTTTATATTCAGCTGCTTATGTTTGTCAGTGACATAACTGCACTTTCTTTCCTGCACTATAACGTTTTTGGACAAAAAGAGTCATTTTATAAGTATGTATTTCCAGCTATGTGTCCAACTGCGGGCTTGTGTGACGGAGGAGCTGCTAGAAAAAGCAGAATTAAGATCATGTGAAATTTGTCCCACAAAGCAATTGTAATCTTGCTTTGCTACTCCCGTTTTTTGTGCTGTTTGCAGCAGGGACTGAAGCGATATTTTTCACATAAATATCTGAAAGGTCTGCTTTTTCAAAGTGTGTCCTTCCTTTTATACTTTACTTTGGTCTCTCCTAGCATCATAATCCTTCTGTCCAAGATGTGGCAAGAAAATGAGTTCAAATTCTGTAGATGCAAGTTACGCATTCTGTCTTCTCGCTGCTATTTGCAGTTTTGCATGAGGAAATCCTATCGGAAGCAGCTACAACGGACCTGAAGTGGGGTTAAACAAACACCCCTTTTTTGTTGTTGTTGGACGACTGAAGGGGGAAGAGGCAACTGAAGTTGAGGGACTGGGGAAGGGACAAGAAAGTAAGCAAGTAGAAATATGTTGGGGAGCTGAGATTTGGAGTTCTGGTGGAGGAGGGATGGAGGGAGCCCAAGGATATTTGAAGGTCAGGGGAAGAAAGAAGCATTGAGCAAAACTCCCTCTGAAGGGGAAGGGAGGCGAGAACTGGTGCTGGGGGACTGTGCCTGCCCGTCCTGGTGAGCTCTGGGATCAACCGGAGTCCGAGAGCCGCTGCGTGAGGAGGTTCACACACCTAACGTGCTCCTGCTTTAAGGAGTTCTCACCAAAGCCCCATCAGATAGGAGAGGGAAGTACTCCCGGGTTTTCCTCCCAAGTTTCTCCGGCACTTGTTCATATCCCCGTTCCCTTCTGCAGCCCCGCTCACTACATCTGTCCCGTGTAGTGCTCCCATTTTCTGTTCATACGCTCATGAAGGCACCCTCCGTGTTTGCTCAGACCTTCAGGCTATGCCTGGAAACAAAATGTTGGAAACAAAAGAACCATTCCCCCAACTGATTCAAAGGCTTAGCACAGAGCATCGGTGAAAGACCTTAGATAAATACAATCTTCTCACGTGTTTCTTTGATAGACATGTCTCTTAACTCTTCTGTCTGCACTGTGCCACCCCCCAAACCACCAGAAGTTGTCAGCACAGTGATGGACCCTCTGTTTATGGACACTTGTAGAGGGGATCAGACATCCATGGGTTTTACTGTTCCATGTTGTGTCTTTCTGTCGGAGAGGAAGCCATCAGTGGAAACCCTCGGGCTTTCTAGGGGCAAAAAAAAAAAGAGTTATGGACTGCTCCACAGATACTGAATCACTTGGGCTGGGAGACTTGAGGAGCGTGCACATCCTGGACTAAAAGGAACCTGGAAGTCTTGACATGGCTTCAAAAGCAGTCCCTTCAGCTTGGGAGAAGTTGGCACTGATCAGTGAATCATTGTGGTGGCATCCCATGACTTTCTGTTGAGTAGAGGGAAGGGTGGAGAGACCCAGGGAGGCCGATGTTTTGCAGGAGGGATTGCCAAATGGCTACTCGAGGTCACCGCATGTTTAAGGAGTCTCACTCAGGAAAACGTCACCAATATTTCTAAAAACAGAGCTATGCCAGGCTGTGAGAACAACTTGCATGTTTAATTTTGTACACTCAGAAAGAAGATAAACATTATCAAACTTAAACCACGTCAAATACACCATACTACTGTCCTTTCCTAGTCCACTCAAATTCACTTAAAACTCTTTCTCCGAGAAAGTCATGGGGAAAGGTAAACCTGGAAACATATTTTGAAGGTCAGAAACACTCTCCGATTGGAGACTGTGAACTCAAAGCCTGAGAGTTTGGTAGCAAAAGGCATTGCTCCCGTTACTTTCATCAAGGTTATATTGCCCAGCTACGTCCTCTAACGTTAACACGTGCCAGGTCTCATCAAGTCTTGAGAGGCAGCTTATAAAACAAGCAGATCTCTAGATCGTTCGGTTCCTCTGGATCAAAAGCAACACCTTGGATGGCCTCTAGCTTTAAACTGGTTATGGGAGCCCAGGTGCAATGGGATCCCCACGGAAGCAACGTAGAGTAAAGCAGTGGCAGGAGGTAAAGTTGAGACTGAGGGTGTTGGCGTGATTGCGGAGAGAGAAGAGGAACAAACACGAGCTCCCGGCAAGCACAAAAAGTTGGCGAAACGGCAGAAAAACCCAAGCACGGGCGAATACATGAATGTTAAAAGGGAAAAGGGACGGGCTGGCCTCTGAGCGGTGGTGTCCGTGGGTCCCTGATTAGGTCAGCTTTGGAAGGCTGGTAATTGGTTCCAGCAATTACCAGCAGCCCTGAGAACCGCCGCTCAAACTTCGGGAGCCCTGTGACAAATTGAAGCTGACTGCTGGTGAAGGAGTATCGACTTCCCATTTCTAAACAGGGGGATCATTAGTCAAGAAAAGCATCTTTTAATTACTCGCAGGAAGGGGAAAAAAAAGGAGGGGGGGATAAGGAGAAAGATCTTTCAGTATGGATCCTGCGACAACTGCTGGGTTTTTTCCAAGTGTATTCAATATTAAATTTATTGTCTTGGAGGGGAGGGGGTGAGCGGGGAGAGTTTGCCTGCAGTCCCTCCTTCGGTAATGCGGGTATAATTTGGAGTGAGAAGTCAAATTAGAGTAAATCAATGGTGCGACAATTAACTAGGTCTGGGGATGAGATCAGGATTTTCCCCTCTAATTGCTATTGATACTCTTTAAGCACACTCTTAAAACATTGACTCGGAGTGGTGCGACCCAGGAGTAGCCCAGCGGGGCAGGAGCAGAACTGCTCTGTGGAGGAATGTCGGAGCTGTGGTGAAGCCAGCTTGGGGAGTCTGCGCCGTGTTTCTCCAGGGCCGTTCGCAATGCTACATAGATCTCCTACCAGGTATTTAGCTTTTTTCCAGACACACTTCACATGTTTTGCTTTCTCCACGTGCTATTCTTGCCCATGTGGCTTCTGGTTTAAAGACTGACTTACCACCATTGACTTCCTACGATGTTGTTGGCCTTTTCCAAGTGAGATGAGCTGCCGCCATCCCTCTACCCACCCCAGGAGGTGACTATCTGCTCCCTGGCCCTCA